CAGTGGCAGCGCTACACACCTTCGGCAAAAAATTCTAAAAAATCAACGGTGATTTGTAACCACTTGAAACTTTCACATTTTTAATCTCTCAGCCTTTATTCCAGATAAATTAAGATAAACTTTATAAAAATGCTTTAGGTTTTCTTTCTTGCTTCACGAGGTTCAGCAGTTCGGAAAAGAGTGAAGTTGGTTGCCTTTCGCCAATACCAACTTCACACTTTTCTACAGTACAGGGTTGCTTTATTTGGTACTGTTTACAACTCGGCCCACCTGACTATGACCGACCTCGGTCATCAAACTTTATATTACATTTATGTTTAGACTGCCTTAGGTACTAATATTTACATGCTGTACGTTACAGTGTTCAATGTATAATTATTATACTGTACAATTCATCTTAAATTCTAAAGCTTAACTGCTACGTACTATGTTACGGTGTAAGTTTATAGCCTATTATTATCCGTTCGACTCATCAGCAGAAGCGACCTTTTCAACGTTTTTATCGACCCACTTTCGCATTCTATTCGCTTCAATAACGCCATTATACGGCAGCTGAGTTAGCTGGCAATTGTCCACGTCTCTTATGACATACCTGTCATTTCCTAAAACCTTAAACACTACATAGGGTCCTTTGTATTTAGGGACGAATTTCTTGTTTGTTCCCACTACTGTATCTACATTTCGTATAACAACAAAGTCACCTACTTTATACTCCTTCGCCTTCACACTATTCTTCAGGAAATGACTTAAATTGTATTCTTGCTTCTTTTCAATACCTTCGGACGCGCTCGATCTAATTTGCTCTAAATCTCTTGGAACGTTTTGATTTACTTTATCCTCTATGTACTCCGTAAACTCATCTATTATCTCGCCTCTCTGCTCGACCCCAAATAAGAGTTTGCTTGGGGAACTTCCCGTAGTACTGTGAATTGAATTGTTGATGGCATATTCCACTTGAAGAAGTTTACTTGACCAATCCGCATGATTGATTGGTTCGGTAAGCTTTCCCAACATTGTTTTTAAGACCCTATTTACACGTTCTACCTGTCCATTAGCTTGTGGGGAAGCAACTGCCGTTTTTACATGAATTATATTTCTTTTTATCAAAAAGTTCTCGAATTCTAGTGACGTAAAACAAGTCCCTCTATCGCTTATAATTCTCCTCGGCCTACTATAATAGCTAAAGTATTTATCTAATGCTGCATTAACCTCCCGAGTGCTTGTAGAATTAGTGGGATAAAGTTTTACGAACTTCGTGAAAGAATCGATTACGACCAATATATGTTTACGCTTAGACTGTATTGTCGGCAGCGGACCAAAATGGTCAATATGAATTGTATCAAACGGCACTGGCCTTTTAGGTATATTATAGAAATTCCTTTCATTTGCCCGAACTGGCATTGCATACATGATGCACTTCAGACAGTTTTGAACGAACTTCTCAACTTTCAGCTTCATTTTCGGAAACCAATAGTACAAACAAATTTTCGTCAAAGTTTTGTCAACAGACTGATGTCCTATTTTCTCATGCATTAGTCTTATAATATTATCTTCCATTTCTCTAGGCACATATAACATGGTTTTCCCATCTCCCTTTACTTTATAAACTAGTCCGTCTGATAATCTAAAGTCCTTTACTTCCTCCTTTTCCATACGTTCTTTTAAATCTGTTATCAAATCGTCACGTTCTTGAGCTAATTGTATATGAAACTCGGCTTCATTAATATCTACGTTAGCAATTTGACATCTGCTTAACGCGTCAACATGACCCATTGATGACCCCTTTCTATGTTGAATGATGTAGTTGAAATTTTCTAGTTCCAGAGCCCATCTGGCTATTCGTGCGTTTACCTGCTTTCTTCCCAAAGTCATAGCAAGCGAGTTACAATCCGTAACGATCTTAAATGGAATTCCTTCCAGATATACTCTAAATCTTTTCAGAGCATAAATGATTGCCAATGTTTCGAGCTCGAAACTATGATACCTACTTTCCGCGCTTGACGTTGTTTTCGAAAAGTACGAAATTGGATGAAATTTACCATCGTCCTGACGCTGTAGCAAAACGGCCCCAAAACCGGTCGAACTGGCATCACAATGCAATTCTGTTTCTCTCAATGGATTATAAATTGCTAGCACTGGACTTTCGGTGAGTTTGGTTTTTAATTCTTCAAACGCGGCAATACACTGTTCATCAAAATCAAAAGTCGAATTTTTCTTCAACAACTGTTGTAATGGTTTTACAATCCGTGAGAATGACGGTACGAATCGTCGAAAAAATGAAAATAATCCAATGCAAGAGTGTAACTCTTTTTGGTTTTTAGGAACAGGATAACGTTTAATAGTGCTTATGTGCGAATC